ACCCTTTCTGTGTGGGTAGGAGGCCACAGAAACCCCGCTCGTGTTTTACGACAGGGCTGATGAACCTGACGACCATGACCTTACCCGAGTTCTACATTTATATCGAGTGTCTGCTCCTCTGTCCTAACGCAGTGGGGCTGGGATTACTTGCCAGTGTCAGTTTGTATAATAGGTGTGGTTACTGCATTGGACAAGCTCTGTGAAAAAGAGAAAGATTGCAGAGTTGGCTTCCTCTCAAACGTCTGTGTCTGATTCACAGACATCTGTGTCTCCCTGAGAAAGAACTTTCACAAGCAGAGCTGTCCAACAAAGAAATAAGCCACTTCCTATGGGAGTGAGCTCCTCCGAATGGGAAGCGGCGGGGCAGAGCCATTTCTGGGGGCTGTGGGGAAGGCAGCACCATGATAGGGAGGGTGAGCCTCCCTGAGAGTTGAGGATGCTGCATTGGTGAGGGAGGCAGCCTCGGGTCACACACGCTTGCTATAAAGTGACACCCAATGAGGGTCTGCTATTCCGTAGTGAGCTGTTGGAGAAGCGAGGCTTTGGGTAGGTTTCACAGGAGGCTCCGACGGAAGACATTTGGGCTGGCCTTCGCAATAAGCCTCTACAGAAGCACCTCTAAGGCTCAGGTCATGAGGTCAAGCTACAGAGCAGAGCATGGTGGGCTGGCAGCCCAGAGCAAGTCCAAGTGGCATTTTAGACCCTTTAGGACAAGCATGGCATGGGAGCGCCTCCCCCCAGCCTCAAGCTTGACGTGCTTGCTTCAGGCAGAAAGATGCTCTGTCCCCACACAGTCTGACATCATTATTCAATTGGCTGTCAGGCCAGCTCTGGGCTCTTGAGTGGGTCTCCGCTCCTCTCCTGCCCGTCCTCTCAGAACCAACCCTGGTCCAGCCCCGGACCTGGAGGAGGGCGGCATTCTTCAGCTCTGCGTGCTGCCTGCTCCTCTGGAGGAAATCAAACTCGGTGCTCAGCGCGAGGAGAACCCCAGCTCTTCCTGGAGGGCTTCAGCGCAGGTCTGGGGCCCTGCTTGGGAAAGAGAGTGCAGAACAGCAAATGTTCCCCCGAAAACGTGCTTTTGCTTCCCGGGCAGGGGAATTTCCTGGGGCGGGAGAGCTGCGTGGGCTTTCTTCTGGGCGCAGCGTTCTGGTGAGGTCCCTGTGTGAGCATACCGCGGCAACCACAGCGGAATGCGCCACAGGAAGTGTCCCAGCTGCTGTCTATTAGCATTAGAACAAATTACACAAAGCAAATTGTTAGCAGACATGTTTCCGTAATATTTAACTGGCGGCAATAAATAAGAGCGATTCTCTTTCAAGTAAATGCTGCGTTTCCAAAACTCCAGCTTCCAATTGTCCGTGAAGGACTCATCTCCGAGGAGGAGGGAGGACACCCTGGGAGCCTGCACAGCGGAGGTGAGGCCGGAAGCTTAGGTGCTGGTGCGGGTGTGGCCGCGGGGCTGACGTCACAGGGCGTCCCCAGGAGCGGGCGCACCTCTGGGTGTCCCACCACCTGCTGGGTGCAGCGCCAGGGCAAACGCACGAGACAAGGTATCTCTGCTCGGAGCTTGGAGTGTGTTTATGATCCACACCCACGGGCAGGTTTTCGCCCTTCCCCTTCACAAAAGATTGCATTTTAAAGACTGTATCTACTCCTTCACCATCCCATGTTTTGTTATCTGAGATTTCTTTTTTAATGAGACCCCATCGGAGAAGAGTTGAAAAAGTGTCCCATCAGAACAAACATCGAAGAGCACCGCCTTCTGCTCGCACACACAGAAACCTGGCCGTTTCTTTAGAAAGAAAACATCATTTTTCATCTTTCAAGGCCTACTGACAATGACTAAATTCCAGTTCCTAGTCACCTCTGAGCATTTCCAACTATCTTCAGATATATGACAAAATTCTCCTAAAGCAATCTCAAAAAAAAAACCGATTTAAAAAATAATTTTAATATTTAAAAAGTAAGAACTATTTCATACAGGATGTAAATACAAAGAATAGGTTATTGCAGCTTCAGGGGCTGGGGACTGTTAGAAGACGTGACCTTTTCTGGTTTTCCTAAGAAATGTATGATTTTGTCTCCCTCACCTCACCGATTTCCTTTTCAAGCAAAGCCAGCCTCAGCTCGGCCCTCCTTTGCCATGTGTTTCAATGTCATACTTGGTTCTCCGGAGGGGCCCTTCCCTCCTTTTTCTGCTGGGAGGAAAAAAGCTTCGCAGCCCTGCTGAAGGGAAATGCCAGGAGCTAGTGTCCACGCTGGTGGGCAGTGAGCAAGATGCTGGAGAATGTTGCTTTTTGCCTACAGGTCTCCTGGCTGGGCCTCTCCCCTCAGTCACAGGGAGCCTCAGTATCTCCGCGTTGGGTAGGCCCAGAAGCCCCCAGCTGCCTCCAGGGCGCCCCCTGCTGTCGATAGAAGGTAAGCGCGCTCTGCCTCCGTGTTACAAAGCTGGGGACACAAATTTAACCAAACACATGTAGTAGCTGACACACTCCCAGCCACTTCCTAAGGCTCTTCCAACTACAGTGTCAGGACACACACACACGCACACACACACACACACACACACACACACTCCTCACGTCTTTTACCTGAAGTCTTCACCAAAGGAATAATGTGCTTCATAAAATATTTAAAACACCTTAGGCAATAGCGTTGTGTCTAGATTTTTTAAAAAGTGTTTAAAGAAAAGTATAATTGAAAATACTTGGAACAGGAACACACACTCTCTAATTTGGAAATACGCAAACTATAGCGTTATTCGTCACAACCTGAAGCAAAGCTACGACAGTGGCATCACAACTACAACATCTGTGCAAGTGCGGGGCCCCAAATAAGCTCACATTTAGACAAGAGCGACGCACACGGCCTGACTCTTGAAGGTCTGTTTAGAGGAAATGGCCTGGCATGTTTTACATTTGCTAAGCTATTTGGCTGCCTGGTTTGACAAGATTTTTGAAAGGGGTGAAAATTAATTATGATTGCAGCACTGCTACAATGATTTGGTCGGCTGAGTGCATTCCAGTGCAAAAACAGGCAAGGGAGAATTTCCTCCCCGGGCTATTCTCTGATATGGCAGCACTCGTTTTAAGAGTAATGAGATGTTTAAAAAGTCAAACCTTAAATATCATGGCTTCAGCAGTCTGTCCTGCTTAAAGTTTAATGCGAAATGAGATAGCACCTCCGTGAGAGCAGTTCCATGTGAACATGGGTCCAGTTTTCTCCTAGACTTGAGATGGAAACATTTCCCACCCCTGAGAACTACCCAAAGTCTCTCTTTGACATTGTTAGGGGATGGTTTCAACCTGGGGGCACAGTGCTCATGTGTTTGTAGTGAGGGAGGTGCTAGTGAGGCTGCGTGGGAAGTTGTGAAAGTCTCTAAATGAGGTATATGTTGATGGAAGAGGCACCATGAGTTGCAGAGGGTTGAGCAGAAACAGTGGAGAAACATGGGTTGTCGTGAGGTTTCCGGACTCTCACAGCATGGCATGGAGTCTCTCTCATGATCTTCATCTACTTCCAACCAATTTCTAAAGAATCAATTTACAAAGCTACCCAGGGCTGCCTTGGGGTCTGTGCAGGCCGTGTCCTGCACAGGGGCACTGGTTGAGGGGTGAGGGGGCTGACATCCCAGCCTGTTCCACTCTCCAGCCGAGATTCCTGCGCAGGCTGCCTCCGGAGGTGGGCGTGCCTTTTCTAATGTATATTTGGGCCAAGAGAAACCCTGAGGTTCTTTTGGATCCTCACCCTTCAGATTGCAATGTCTGGTCTTCATCGCCTCACCTCCAACTACGGATCTTTTTTTTTTTTTTTTTAAGAAAGTGGATATGCCCCTGGCAAAGGTGAATTCATTTTGAAGGTATGTTTTCTGTTCGGTGAAAGATGAAGGAAAAAAAAGAGAGAGGGAAAAGGATAAGAAGAAGAATGAAGACAAAGTTGTCCTTCTGCCTAGGAAATTGTGGATGCATCGTCCTTCCCTGGACACAGCTGCAAAGGGACAGAAAATCAATTTTTTTCTATTACTCCACAGTGAAGAAGGAAAACCTCTCTGTAAATTGCATTAAACCCAATAATAGCATGTCTGCGTATTTGTTAAGGACTAGAAAAATTAGCCACCAATACAACTCCATAATCCAGCAATGTAACTAGCAATCAACACTCCCATTTCAAAGCTTAGATGACACATTCTTCTTCTTTTTTAAAGAAACACCATGGCTAAATGTCACTAAGACTGTTCGGCGGGCTGATGTATCGACACCTCAGTAAGGATTCTGGAAGAGAAGAAACTCCAAAGCCCCATCTGGGAAGAATGAACTTCCAGTTTCTTGCCTTCGCTGCTTGTGCATCAGTCCGTAATAATGATTGGCTAAGAACTAGAACCTTCTAGAAGACGGTTTCTTTCTAATTACCTTTGGGAGGTAATTAGTTCTTCCCAAGTTTGCAATCTGTGGTGCCGACCTTGGAATAAATTCCCTTTGCGGTGTAGGCTAGATCTTGTTCACAGAAGCCCTAACCCTCCTGCCGAGGACAGGATTATCCGCCTGCAAGAGTGAAGGGTCCTGAAATCTCATTAGCAGTCTGCCCTCTAGTGGGGTAACACAGTACTTCAGATCATTGGGAATAGAAAAGGTTTTTTTTTTCTTCTCTTTCGGAGAGCAAAAGAATTCAAGTTTTCCAGATAGTGCAAGGGGAGGCATTTATCTTCAAAGACAGCTTCCAGAGCTGAATCAAGCAAGGCTCACAATGATGGGTCCCCGGGTCACAGTCAAAGACAGGTGGTGCTGTGGTGGGCGTGGCCACAGGCCTGCAGAGCAGACCAAGGTTCTTTTCACACCCATGGAACCCTCCAGGGTTCTCCTTGGGTGATAGCACTCAGTTCCCCACTCTCTCATTGTCCAAATAGGACCCACTCTCATGGCAACGAACCTGTGAGGAATGTTACAGATCATAGGCATTTTTGTAATTTTTTGGCAAATCATTAACACAAAAGAGCCTTTGAGATGGGCCAGGTTGACTTTTTAAAAAGGCAAAGAGTTTTGTAAAAAGACCCCATCTTTGTGCCTGTTGTTTTGAAGAAGGGAATCTGTTTTTCCATGGTGGCTGGATGTTGGTAAGGCAGAGATGATCTTGAGACCTGCTGGCTGGATTTTGCTTCTAGCTTCTAAAAACCTTCAAAACTTGGCCTGCTTCAGTTTGTCAATATGATAGCAGAGTTTCAGCGCAGGTCCCAGCTTCAGGCCCAAGTATTTCATAATCATGTCACTCTTCAGCAGCAAGAGAGCATTGCCGTCAATCTCCTGGTGGGACAGGATCAGAACAAAGGAAACCCAGAAGATGGTCAGAGAGATCAAATGGTGGCCAAAGTTAAAGTGTGGTCTGGGGGTGAGGTAAGGGAATGTGGATGCACTTAGGAACGTGTTCTTAGTCACGACGCAATATCTTCTTTAAAAGATAGAGCAAAAATGTTATATGCTCCTCTCCCTGGGGTAATTTAATACAATGGATCTTTCATATTCCTACTTCATCAGGATTGAAGGAATTAAACATAACTCCAGCATGGTCCCAATATCTCACATATGATGTCTTTCTCTTCATCCAATCTAGGGCTAAATGAGCAAGAAGTGTGCAATGGATTGAGTGTCCCCTGACACCCTCCCCATTCATAGGTTGAAATCCTAACTGCCAATAGGTGGTTACTTTGGGGGTAAGTAGGTTACGATGGTGAAGCCCTCATGAATGGTATTAGTGTCCTTATACAATGAGAAGATGACAATCTGCAACCTGGGAAGGGGCTCTCACCAGATGAAGACCAGGCTGATCTCGGACCTGTGGTCTCCAGCACTGAGAAGTGAATTGCTGTTGCTCACAGCCAGCCAGCTATGGTACTTTGTTAGAGCAGTCCAAGCTAAGACAAAGTGTCGTCCCTTAGACTCTGAAACTAGTGGTTCCCTTCCCACTAGTTTCTCCTGAGCCATGGATTCTCCTGAGAGCCTCAGAAAGAATGTCAGCCCTGCCGGCACCTTGACCTCAGTGCAGTGAGACCCCTGCCAGGTGCTGGTATAAGGCCCTGACTTCCATCCACCACTCTAATCTCTTGCTTCTTTTCTGGGTAAGCCCACCTACCTTTAGCTGATCACCAGATTGCTAATTACACCCTATGAGGGCATTCAAGTGTTTTTTGGCCCTGTCAGTAATGCTGGGTGGCATACCACTAAATAATGCACCTGCTTCATCTCGCGATATAGCACAAAGAACTACCAAGGAAATGCCAATCCCTTGAGGTCCTGGCATTGCTCCCACTTGTCTCTGAAAATGGTAACTCTTCAGAATTCATGGACCTAGTAGGGCTGGGCTTCCTCGTTAACCGTTAGTGCTATTTTCAGGGCACTTGAAATAAAGGGTAGAAATGTGGGGCACTTGGCTGGGGAGGAGGCACAATTACAGGACTCATATAACTTGCAAGGGCCACCAGTCCCTCTCCTTCATCTACACTCTGATGAAGTGCTGACTCTGTGTCACTCACTCTCCATGTCCTTGGCACAATGCAGAGTGGGCCAATCTCATCTGTGGGCCCTCCCAGGGGCCTCATTGCCTAAAGTCTCCCTTTACCCCACCCCCTAGACTTTCACCGTCTCCCACCGCTCTGGACCACAGCCAGGCTCCTCCCACCCCGCTGTCTAAACATAACCCACCCTGTGGTCCTTGCCCATAAGGCCCACTGCTAGGTGAGGTCCAATATATCCCTAATAAATGTCAGTGTCGGGTTAGGTAAAGATCCTCCCCAGATCTGAGAGGATGATTTCTCAACAGAAACACCAAATAAAATGAGAGTCAGGCAGGGGAAATTAATGGTAACTGTAGTTGGCAGAAGAATGCTCCCTCTTCTCGCTCCAAGACATCTATGTCCTAATCCCTGAAACCTATAAACATGCTAGGTTACCTGGCGAAGGGGAAGGATGTTTACAGAAGGAACTAAGGCTGCCCCTCAGCTGACTTTATAATAGGGAGAGTATCATGGGTCAGTGGGGAGTGGGAGCAATGTAATCACAGGGTCCTTTATTGTGGAAGAAAGGAAGAACAGAAGAGTCAGCAGCCTGAGGAGGACCCTGCTTAATGTTATATCTTTGAGGGTGAGGATGAGGGGATATGAGCCAAGAAATGAGGATAGACAGATGCTGGAAAAAACAGGGAAATGGATTCTCCTGAGAGCCTCCAGAAAGAATGTCAGTCCTGCTGGCACCTTGACCTCACTGCCAGACCCCTGCCAGATTTCTGACCCAGTGAACTGTAAAGTGATAAATTTGTGTTGTTCTTGGTTGGGTGAGATAGGAGAGGGTAAAGGGGGGTCAAATATCTGGCAACAAAAGAAGACTTGACTTTGGGTGATGAACACACAATACAATACACAGATGATGTATTATGGAATTGTACATTGAGACCTGTATAACCTTATTAACCAGTGAATTAAAATTTGTAAAGTGTTGTAAGCTACTACATTTGTGGTAATTGAGTATAACAGCAATAGAAAACTGACATAGTAAGCTTGGTAGGTAAAGTATGAATTCTTATCTTTTTTTTTTCATTTACCACCTTTACATATTTCAGGATCTCCTAAATGACTATATAAATGCCTGCTAACTGAAGGCTACCTACAGACCAGGCACCATGCTGAACACTCGGGTGCCTCTTCTCACTTAATCCTCAAACAGTTTAGGACTAGGCACTAACAGTTTAGGACTGGCATATCGTAGGTAGACTATAGATATTTGTTGAATGCACAAACAGATGGATGGATGGATGGATGGATGGATGGGCAAGAAACAGACACTCCTGCTAAAGCACAAAATGATGGGACAGATGGGACAAATATCCCTCTAAAACAAACTAAGTGGTAATTGTGCTCTGAGAAGAACTGGCCTCCTTGAGTGGTGCCCCCAGAGCTTAGTTCAGAACCGCCCCCAGCTCCCAGCTCCCTGAACCTTCCCCTTCTCCTACGCCCTCCCCCAACCTCCCCCAGGCCTGGCCCACCACACACATACATGCTTTCTGAAGAGCTCCACGTGGGGCCCCAGAGCCTGCGGGTCAGCGTCTTTCACGAACCGGACCACATCCTCCACGGTCCAGGTGGACGGGTTCCTGCTCCTTGGCCGCCTGCCGTCCTGCCCGTCTGGAGAAGGGCTTGAGGCTGGATGGGTGAGCAAGGAGAGCAAGATCATTAGACACCAGGACAAGGGCCTGAGCCCCTACCTGTGCTGCCTGCTCACACCTGACCCTCAAGTCCAAAGTGCTGGCCTGAGTGACCCCCTGTGACAGAGAAAGGCTGTGAGTGGCCGCACCCTGGTTATGACCCAGTGTCCCTCCAGCTTCCCTTGTCCACCTTTAGCTGGGGCTTTGGCTTCTGTCCAGGAGGCATTTACCCTCCCTCCTTCCCACGGAGGCTCCACCAGCATCTGAGCCCAGGGAGACCCCTTCCCGGGCAGCATGTCTGTGTCCTGCCATCTGAACGCCACCTCCCTTCACCTTTAACCCCCAAATCTTCGTTTGTTCTTCTCTTAAGATGCTTTTCAGCCTGGCCAGCGTGGCTCAGTGATTGAGCATCAACCTATGAACCAAGAGATTTGATTCCTGGTCAGGGCATGGAGGGGTTGCTGGCCCGATCTCCATGCAGGAGGCAGCCGATGAATGATTCTTTCTCATCATTGATGTTTCTATCTCTCTTTCGCCCTCTCTTCCTCTCTGAAATCAATAAAAATATTTCTTTTCTTAAAAGATGCTTTCCATTTTGCCTCGCATTACAATTATGCATGTACGTGTCTGCAACCTCCAGTTATATTTTAATCCTTGAGGATGGTCTTTTTCACCTTCCCCTCCCCCTGTTCATTCCACAAACGTCTACTGAGCACCTGTCTCTTCTTTACCAGGTCCTGGGCAAAATATGTGGTGGGAAATGGTGTCCTCTCATTAGGGGGTCTGTAATCATTGGCTTCTCCACTGCTCTAAGTATATATTCATAAAAACTGGGTCAATCAATGTAAAATGATTCACTATCTTTTGCAGAAACAGTATAAATAACTTACACAAGAGCCTTGAGTGGGTAATCCTTAATCCCACGTTCAGGCCAGAAAAAAAGCTGAGGCTCTGAACAACGAGGCCGCTTTCCCACAGAATAAGCCTATATTAGAAGTTGGGGCGGGGGGCCTTTGCTCTGTTTCCCTTCTCCAGCCTCAGGGCACAGCGGTTCTCTGCTGTCCCTTCTTCCCTCCACGCTGTTCGGTGCTCGAGAAAAGCACGGCCTTCCATTTCCGATCCATCCTAAGTACGTAATGGTCTGGTTGAGAATTGGAGTTTCTTTGGCATTTCCCTGCCTTTCCTTTTGCACCTGGAAGAGTCCCCTCAGGTTGTCTGGCACGGGACATTTTTGCCGGGAAACTGTCACTGCCCCCTGGAGCCATCTGAATGCAGATGTGTGCTTATTAGAGATGACTCCACAGCCCTTAGCGACATCTGCACTCAACATGGGGACGAGGCGTCACGGAATCACGTTTGCCTCTGGATCGCGCCCCATCGGAGCTTCGGCATTAGTCAGGGTGATAATGGATGCTCTGATTACAAAGGCTGGAAGTCTACGGTGCCAAGAATGACTTTAGAGTGATTAGAGCAGAGGGCAAATCTAATTTCCTGTATCTGATAGAAAGAAGAAATTCCAGGCCGACTCACAGCCTCATCCATCGGAGCCTGAGTTCCTCTGAGCAAGGCCATGCCACAGGGCTGAGCAAGGGAGGTGTGTGTCTCTACAAGGAGGTGCACCAGGTGATGAACCTGCAGGGAGAGCGTCCTCCTCCTGGCGCCTGCTGCTCGCTGCGGGCATTTTTCACTTTTCCAGGCTGGAAGGGCTGCAGCCAGGCCTGGGAGCCTCTCTGAGGGGCCTTGAGTCGTACAAGACAGAGAGCGGCAGGAAGCCTGTCACACCGCTGGAGGTGCTCAAGTTCCAAAGCACACAGACTCCCTCTGGAACAGTGGTTCTTAACCTTCCTAATGCCGCGACCCTTTAATACAGTTCCTCATGTTGTGGTGACGCCCAACCATAAAATTATTTTTGTTGCTACTTCATAACTGTAATTTTGCTACTGTTATGAATCGTAATGTAAATATCTGATATGCAGGATGTATTTTCATTGTTACAAATTGACCATAATTAAAGCACAGTGATTAATCACAAAAACAATATGTAATTATATATGTGCTTTCCGATGGTCTTAGGTGACCCCTGTGAAAGGGTCGTTTGACCCCCAAAGAGGTCGCGACCCACAGGTTGAGAACCGCTGCTCTAGCAGGAAGAGAAATGGAACTTTCCAGTAGCAGGTTTGTAAAGCCTTTGCAGAGACCTCTGCTCACAGATATAACGGATCCACCCGCCCCTCCATCTGCTGTGAAGGTGTCAGGAAGACGAATGGGTACGACGAGGCAGATGTGACTGGACAGTGGTAAGATGTGATGGACGTGAAAAAAAATCTTGCTCCTAAAGGAACAGAGCACGCAAAGTGCTCACCCAGGGCCTTTAGGGAGGCAGCTTTCTCCAGCACAGAGGATGCTGTGCATGGTCCTGTCCATTCACTGGGCTGCTGGAGACGTGAGAGTGAAACCCGACTGTGAACACATGTGTCACTAAAGATGGCTGTTGTCATTTCTAAGCAGAACTCACATTCCCCGGGAGTAGAATGACTATGAATCGGGGTTTAAAGCAATCCCGGCATTCTCACAGCACAGGCACTGGTACTGCCGTCTCTGAGTCTCTCCTGCCTCGCACACACACCCACAAGTACATGCATCATTTCCTTTTGTGCATTCATAAGTCAGAGAAAATTTCTTAGCTAACAATGGAGTCACGAGAAAAAGGGAATGGGCAATAAGCTCTGAGTCAGAAATCCCTACCACCCACCAGCTACATGAGCATCTTTGTGCCTCTCGGGTGTGAAATAAGGGAGCTGGTAAGGACCTCGCAGGTCCCTTCCACCTGAGACACTGCAGAGCCCCAATGCACCACAGGCTGTCCTGGGCAATACTCGCGGGTTAGCCTCTCACACATCTGAGAGCTTCATCTGTGTCCATGTGCAAAGCCCACGGGATGTAGAATCTATAGCCAGGCTCCTGGTCCCTTTCTGGCCCTGATCGTTCTCTATGGGCCTCTGTTTCTTCAACTTGTTTCTCAAAAGTATTGTAAGAATCAAGGGAATGTGTAGCTTTGGGCTGGAGCCAGGTAAGAAGCATCTGAAGGAAAGCCTATCAGTGTCCAAAAGGGAACTAGGGTGCCCTTCCTCGGGCTGCCTGTAGAGCCCCTCGGCCCCCCAGCTGGAGCTGGGTTGGGAGGAGACAGGGTAAAGGCAATGGGGAGGGTGGATCTGTCCTCAGCTCCTCCTCCTCACCTGCTCCCGTAGAAAGCACCCTTCCTAGAAACAAGGCAGGCAGTGCGCAGGTGTCGGGGGAGCCCGCAATCTGGGCAGCATCGGGCCATTTAAAAGTGTTGTTTTTCATTGTTTCTATTACAATAGTCCTCGCTATGAGGTGAGGGAGATGCTAGACAGAAGAGGGCCTGCCCAGTTCTTAGATTGTAATCAAGTTTTTCTTTTATTCCTTCAAGACCAGCTGCCCTGCCTGTATGAGAGGAGAGGCCATAGGCTTGAAGTGAGGCTTAGTGGGGCTGATTCATTCTCTGCCACCACTGTGACCTCTGGGCCAGCAATTTGATCTCACCCCTTCTCCTCACTGCCCCTCCCGGCCCACTCCTGCTTCCCCTTCCAGCTGGCTCCACAGCCACCTCTCCGGGAAGCCTTTCCTGACTCCCCAGAGGAGGCCCAGCAACGCTTCCCTACCTGACTCTTTCATAGCATCCATGCCTGTTCTGTGGGGCAAGTCACAGTTGTGATCAAGTTTGTGCAGTTGTTCTGTTTGTCTCTCTGGAGCTGCACCCTGTCAGCTCCATCCTTAGACCCAGGAAGATCCTCTGGCATGTTGTGCTCAGTAAGTTTCTGCTGGCACCTCTCTAAGTCTTGTGGGCGCAACTCTTCTCCCCAGAATGAACAGACCCTTGCAGGCCTTCAGACACTCCACCCACATCGCATCCAGTGCTGCTCCCACCCTTTTTCTGGCTGAATTGTCTCTGTCCATCACCGAACACCATACACTATGAAAGCAAATGCTAACTCAGGGGAAGCATTTGGGTGCTAATAACAATGTCTGATTTATTTTGTGTCTTGATTCTGAAGCTGGGACCTGAAGTTGTGTTTGGGAATTCTACAGCAGGTCCTGTTAAAGGCAAGAGTCAGGACACTTTTGTTGTCTACAAACTCTTTATGGCTCTCGGTGATTATGTCCTGGATGAGAGACAGGAGAGAGCTCTTGAATTTTCACCTGAGTATCAGCAAAAAACAACAGGTAAATGTGTCCTGTGACGACATCCCTTCCGAGTCCACTGACAGAGGTGACAGGTGTGATGTATCAAGACAGCAGGTGGCCAGGGTTAGTGTTCACATGAGAGGGAAGGCTTTCAGGTTTGTCACATCATCCATATCCACTCCCCTGCCTGCAGCCTCACGCAGTGTTCTGGCCTCTGTGGTTTTAATCCATTCTGATTAGCACCACGGGGGGTGGGGGGTGGGGGCGGGGAATCCATTGCTAGGTTCCTTCCAGGGTTTATGACTTGGGTCAGACCCTCTTAAAGTGGCAGGGTCCCTTCATACCAACTGCTTTCACTGGGGATGCTGTTTCAGAGCGATATCGAGCAGTCCTTGGGCACTGGGAAAACGAATGGCCCTCAGAGGGCCCCCAGCAGGCAGCGAGGTGACAAGGGGTAAGGAGGCCAATCGTTTTCTCTCTACCTAATACACTGCCACTCAATCCCCATGGTTTATTTCCACGGTTTCCAAATGTGTTTAGCTCTGCAAATTTTGTTCAAGAAAAGCATACGGAAAGCCCCACTCTGCAAATGCAAAGAGGCCCCGGTTGAAGAGATTGGGGTGTTGGAGTCCTGTCTGCTCCCATCCCCTCTCCCCTCCCCTAGAACCTCCAAAGGCTAGTTGCTCAATAACTAGATATTTAGCTTATGCCCCGAACAAGCAGGCCCCTCTCTGGGGCTGCAGAGGATACAAATACGACCAAGAAACCTCATGAAGCTGGGAGTCTGGTTCCTACCATGGGACCAGAGAGAGGAAGTACTAGAGACGAGGAAACCAAGTGGCAGTGGAGGAAGCAGGAGAGAAGGAACACACCTAATCGTGGGGTGTGGCTGAGGCTGCCACTTGCCTAACCAATATCTTTTTTTTTTTTCCGTTTCTTCCTTTGTAATAGAAGCCCTGATTTCCAGCTGGGACCATGGTTGCTTGGAATGGAAACTATATTTCCCAGCTTCCCTTGCAGCTCATAGCCATATGACTAAACCCTGGCCAATGAGATGCAAGCAGAAGTGGAAACCTCAGTTCAGAGATGCCAGCACTGCCCTCTGTCCCTGACCTTCCCCGCCCCCTTCCTTCATCTGGATGCTGAGAGTGGGCATGGCTGGCTAGCTCTTTCTGGTATCTGTGGTTCCATTTAGCACCCTGAAGGAAGCACTGAGTAAAAGGGATTTTGGAGCATTAAAGAGTTAATGCGCCCACAAAGGGGAAATAATTTCACTTTCTGCGGTGTATCACAGAGGCTCGCCCAGGAATCTCAGCCGTTCGTCCCGCAGCAGCTTTGCTCCAGGGAGGCCGGCGGCTGTGTGATTCTGAACATCTCACAGCCCTGGGGCATCTGCTGACTATGAACAACTCTGATTTTCAGGGTATCAGGCAAAGTTCTCACTAATATTTCCAAGTTGCAAAAGAGACCTTCGATATTCAGGATACAGTTAGTGGTTTGCTCGGAATGGAAGGCACTGGGAATTGGAGGGCTGTTTCTCTGACTCCCCAAGACCCTGGGAGGCAGGAGTCCTGAGCAAGGGGTGCTCTCCTGGGTATAGCCGGGGCTCCGACAGAGAGGGCTTCCTCAGAGCTGGCCCGGCCTCCAGCAGATTAACCAGACAGCGGATCCGGGTCTAATTCCAGGAGAACAAAGGCTGGTGGAAATCAAAATAAAGGACAGGAGGATGGTTGAGACTAGGGTGGGAGGACATCTCAGGGCTCCACAGGAAAGAGGTAGCAAGGGACTTGGGGAGCTGAGCTCCCTTGAGACCCCTCTGACGGGCCCTGGGTCTCCCTGGTCCAGGGGGACCAGATGGACTGGGACGGGGCAGACAATTCTACAGCAAGTGATGGTTCTCTCCACCCAAATCGTGTCTTCCTCCTACTGCTTGAAATCTTACACTTAGGACACAGGGCCTGAGATGTCACCAACTAGAGGCAGCCTCTTAGGATTATGAGTCAACTCAATCAGGTGGTGTCCTGTGATCACCACCCTGAGCAAGTGGGAGTTGGGTTGAGGAGAAGAGGTTGAGAGGAGAGACAGAGGGTCACAGGAATGAGGGTTTTGACAGCCAGAAGCAACATGAGGGCTCTGAGCACCATGGCAGCAGGGGGCAGGTGCAGTGACTGTTGACTGAACACCTACTATGTGCCAGATGTGACTCTAACTCTGGGGATAAACCTGGGAAATAAATGTTGCCCCCTCATTTACTTTAAGGCATTGCTTTGTGCCAGATCTTGTTCCCTTTTCTTGTTCTTAGAGATCCGATGGAACAGCATCTCTCTCTTTTGAAATCTTCTTCCTGGCCAATGGCCCTGAGTGACAGTGCTAGGGAGTGGCCTACAGGTGCCTCTACATTTGGCCAAAGCCCCCACCCTGGCTGAGGGGGTCTATGCTGTGCCCTCAGGACTGCCTCCCCCTTAAGGGGCCCCTGCTTCCCTCCCCATCTTCAGCCAACAGAGGCTCGTCTGGGTTGGGTGAGCTCACTGAGGCGAGTACACAGAGGACCTTGGATCACACAAAGTGCTAATTGCTGTGGCTTCTCAGGGCTGCTGGCGGAGGGAGCCAAGGCCCAGGACAGAAACGGGGCTTGCTAAGGAAGACCGCCAGCCCCCGGGAGGCTTAGAGGAGCAGGATGAGGACTCTGCCTCCTTGGCTTAGGCCTCCTTTTTCAGCAGTTCTCAGCCCCCGAGTTGATGAGCTGTGCTCTGGGGCGGGGTATGGTCATGTGATCTGCAACTACTAACATTTACTGAGTTCTTACTTTGTCCTAGGCTTTGTACTAAATACACACATGAACTTATCTAGTATGTAATCCTCCCAACAAGCCTAGGAGGTAGGTGCTATTATTATTACTCCAATTTCACAGGTGAGGAAACTGAGGCACAGAGCTCAGACTTGCAAACTGTCAGACTTGCTAGAAAGTGGCAGACCCAGGGTTCCAGCCAGGTCATCCGGCTCCCAGTCCATGCGATTATCCACTGTGCTCTACAGCTTCTGGAGTTTGAAATGATTTTTTTTTATAAAGCACACACACACAAAAAAAAATCAGAATGGACACTCAGCTATCCCTAGAATGACAGCACTTTTGTGCTTCACATCCCAACAAGCGACCTGTAACAGGTGAGACAGAAGTGGTGTCACAACCAGTGCTGTGGGCATTTGGCTAAACTCTGGTTCTGCCCATCTACCAATATGTAGCCACCGGTGTCACCCACTACACAAGACAAAACTCTTTACTAACATCTGGTTCCTGGCACAGAGCTAGTCCACGCCTCTCAGACCCCCTTAGAGGGATGTGTGGCCAAATGGCCAGCTCCTGCCAAAGACGTGGGAGCGGGAGGGATGCGACCAGCCCAGGCTCCGGGAGGCTGTGCCTTCCCCACCTGCTCCTGCCCTCTCCACCGCTGGGTGCTTGGGGCTCGGAGGCCGGCGGGTAGCAGAGCCACAAACAGAGCCTGGGCCCCTAGGGATGCACCCACCAACTAGGAACACCCACCTTAGTCTTTTGAACAAAAAATAAACTTCTATGGTACTTGAGCCACCGTAATTTTGGAGTCTGCTAACTCCTACCGCCTGGCCTCCTCTCTGCCAGCCCGTTTGAAAAGAATAAAACAAAAAAAAAAAAAAACCCGTACCCTTTTATGTAATGATGTTTACTTTGAATTTGTATTAGTTCACACAAACACTCTATCCATGCTTTTGTTCGGCCCTCTGGTCCAGTTTAAGAACCCATTGTGGCCCTCGGGTCAAAAAGTTTGCCCACCCCTGTAGTCTAATGCATCATTTCCTGTGCTTATCATCACAGCCTGACCTCCGCTGTGTTCAAGAAGGACATTCATGAGGGACTTATGGAAACTTCTGATTTCCCAGTGTCCCCCACGTTCAAACAGCCAGGGTCCCCTCCTCCCCCATCTGCGGTGGTCCCACCCGGCCCAGGAGGGAAGTCACAGGGGCGCCCATGCATGCATTACGTTACCACATCTGTTTCCTTCCAGAGAGGTCCCATTCCTCTTGGGGCTGCAGCCTGGGGGCCTCAGCCCGGGTGCCGAGGGGCCTCCGGAGGACAGGGGGCCGCCCCCGAGGGGGCCATCTCCGGAGTTCTGCCTCTTGCAGTACAGCGCGGAGGCGGGGGGCACGGAGCCCCGGTGGCTGAAGGCGGGGCCGGAGGGGTCCAGGCTGTAGCGGCTCATGCCCGCAGCGGTCGCCAGGCGGCACTCTGCGGTGGCGAAGGTCTTGGCTAAGCGGAAAGCAGGGAGAGAGGTGGGGATCAGAGAGCCGTTCCAGGGAGCTTGGCCTCAGTCTTGGCGAACCATCCCCAGCAGCAGGGCCGCCGCCGGTGAGCACAGGAGATGAGGAATGGCCCCTCGGCATAACCCCAGGTAGCTCACCGCCCAGCAGAAGCGCCCGCCTCACCAACAAAGCATATTATCCCCTCGATGGGGAGGTGTGTCCTCGGGGAAAGCAACGATCTTGGTGATTGATGACTTGGAAATAAGATTCAAACAAAAGTCTTACCTCCCCCCTCCCCCCCATGGCTCGGCCCCTCTGGCGGTGTCCCGGGGCATGTCTGAACCCCCCTGCGCTCTCTTCTCTGGCCCCCACCACCGCCCCTCACCTGGCAATGCTGGGAAACCGGACCCCTCATACGCTGCGGGTGGGAATGTAAAATGGTGTAGCGGCCTCTTTGGAAAACAGTATGGCTCTTCCGCAAATGGTTAAAATAGAGCTATCATATGACCCGGCAATTGCACTCCTAGATATATGCCAAGAGAAATATTCACACAAAAATCTGGGCATGAATGTTTATAGAAAAGTATTCATACTAGCCAAAACAGACCAAATGGCTATCAACTGATGACTGATTAAACAAACTGTGGTATATCCACACAACAGGATATTACTCAGGCATACAAAGAAACGAAGGACTGATATAGCTACAGTGGATGAGTCCTAAAACATTATGCTACATGAAAGAAGCCAGCCACAAAAGACCGCATATTAGTGGTGCCACTTCTATGAAGTGTCCAGGATAGGCACATTTATAGAGACAAAAAGCGGATTAGTGGCCACCTTGGGCATGGAGGTTGAGGGGATTGAGGATGCTAGCTAAAGGTATGTGGTTTTTGAAGTACTGAAAATGTCCTACAATTGGGGTGGCGGCTGCATACATCTGCGAATATACTAAGAACCATTGAGTTGAACACTTTAAATAGGTGAAGTGTATGATATATGAATTACATCTCAATATAGCTATTTTTAAGTCATTGCAGAAATCCAGTGTCATGCGTGAGCACATCCTTGAGAGTGTTGTACAATCAAGTCGACAAACACTTTGGCTGCTAGGACATGAGTGAGCCGAGCAGCCTAAGGGCGTGTGTGCCCTGTGTCTCACCCTTTGTGGCTAATGGAGGGCTGCAAGGTGTCTTCAGGAACCTAGAACTCGGTACCTTCGCCTTGATGGACTATATTGCATCTCTTCCCTCTGGGTCAGAAGACATCAGTGGGAAGATTCTAAAAGGGACCAGGCTACAGAGCTATGTATGAGGCTGCTTCATGAATGGAGTGAGAAGGAGAAATACTAAACATTTACTGAGCACCTACTCTGAGCCAGCATCATTTTAAGCCAGTGAGTGGTAACACTGTCATTATATTCTCTTTACACGCGAGTTCTCATCGTCTGGGACACTAGTCCTTTCTGTGTCCCCAGGGCCAGATGCCCTGATGTACCTGCGGAAGCAGCTCCCAGTGCTTGGCATCCAGAAGGCACTCAATAAATATCTGCTGAGTAGGAATTTGGGCCAGTTTAGCAGGATATGTATTAAAATTCAGATGATAAAGGATTAAATATAAATTCTTCATGTAAATGAATGATAAATAGTGAAAAAGAAATTGAACTGAAATATTCTGTTTATTCAATATTTTAAATCCAAATTAAATATATCTATGGAATTCTGATAGTCTAAGGTAAAGAATGACATAATTCACCAATCTTCACTATAGTTGGAAAACACAGATGCAGATGGAAAACTGTTCTCCTATGACAATGTGTGGAAATGGGAAACAAGGGAACAGAATGTGATTGGTTTAGAAACCATGGATGAGATCAAAGGGCCATGATCCAAATGAATTCATTGGAAAGTCAAACCGACATGAGAGAGCATCAGGCACTAGCCCTCTCCTCAGCAAAGGCTGAGCCAGTGATTCTGAAGTCAGCTGGTGGACAACCATGGAGACACCACCAAGCCCCAGCCCGGGCTCTGGGAGTGAACATCAAGGTCAGGTGCACACACCAGGGTGCCCTTCAGAACCGATGAGGTGCATCTGCTCAAACCCAATGAAAACAGCCTTTCTCACCTTTATTAATAGGGGCACTGATGCTTACATGGTACCTGACTGATACAATGAAGGCCATCATCCAACCACAGGACTACAAAAGCCCTTCACAGAACACCCAGCCCAGCACATCCCTAAGTGTTACATGTGTCCCTCTGGTGGGACAGGGGATGAGTTTAGGTGGGACTTTGGTGTATTAGTTTCCTAAGGCTGCAGAAATTACCAGTGACTTGGTGGTTTAAAACAACAGAAATGTATTCTCTCACAGTTCTGGAGGCTACAAGCCTAAAATCAAGGTGTCCGCAGGGCCAGGCTCTCTCCAAAAGCTTCAGGGGAGGGTCCTTCCTTCTCTCTTCTATCTATTCAAAACCTTTACACTGTTCAAGCCGTGAAGGCATCCCCCAAAGAGGTAGATGAATTACAGTTGTGCAGGACTTCTAGTAGCTTAAAAATTTAATAAAGTGGGACATACGGATTGTTTGTTACCTAAAACTACTATTTAAAGCCGGGGGGAAAGAAGCACCAAATCTCTCCTTGGAGAGAGAACTACACTTTTCACGCGGTTTTGTGGCTGACTGGTGAGCGAACACCAGATGGGGCCAGCAGACCTGGGATCGTCCAGCCTGAGTGCCTCGCCACTGCACACAGACACGGGCAGACGACGTTCATGCTCCCTGTCTCCTGGGTTCTTAGAAAGTCCCTTCTCATCTGAAATGAGCTGTCTTGTTCCCCTGGCACCTCTCATTAAACAAGAGGAGACCACCAGCTCGGCAAAGCAGGGTCAACAAAAGGTGTTTTATGCACTTCCCTTCTATCACCCCCTCCTCTGTCCTAGAGACTAAGGATGCTGCGTGTAAGTTATTAAATCTTTCCTCCAGATAAAGGAATAATCAGCTTTTGTCTGACACACAAGCCTGCCTACATGGACAAGCAAATGCACAATGCACGTTCAAAGAAGCTTGCCACCTTTTCAGGGTTTAGTGTTGGAACGTCCATTGCTAATCTGTGGACCACAGTTTCCCCCAGCCACTGTCTATGAAGCCTGCCCATTAGTGAGGCTACTGAACACTCTAGAAGAGTTCAAACCCACTCAAGCCTCAAGCGGTACCTGCTTGCTTCAGAACCTGATGCGTGTCTAAGCCTCTCTGTTGGGGGAGCAAACTCCAGGGTCAGGAGTGCATGGACTCCCCCTCTTCCCCCTCCCCCACAGAGGCCTCTGCAGAGGCT